CAGGGCGAGTGCCGGAGCCGCGTGTCGCCCGGCAGGAGGTTGGTGGTCTTGGCCAAGTCGCGGTCGTTCCGGGAGCTGCACGGCAGGATCCTGCTGGAGGGCCGCAGGCTGATCAGGGGCGCGCTGGAGGCCGGCGCGGAGCTGCAGACCCTCTTCTTCAGCTCCTTGCAGATGGAGGAGCTGAAGGAGCTGCCCGAGGCGGCGCTGAAAAAAGCCAGCTTGGTCAAGGTGAAGTTCCAGGACATCAAGCTGTGGTCGGACCTCGTCGCTCCGCCGGGGCTACTAGGTGAGGCGCGCGGGGGAGAGGAGGCGGCAGCGGGACGGAGGTTGCCTCTCGCGCCAGGCCGACGTCGCGGCCCGCGGAGGTGACCCAAGGAGCCGGCTCCTGGTGCGTGTTAGTCGGGGTGGGCGTAGCGCATCGTGGGGCTCGGCTGGGTTAAAGAAAAACTGCTGACTTCCATCTGCCCACGGGCATCTGTCCCTTTGCTTTCTCAGGAATCTTCTCCAAGCCGGACTACACCAAGATGGATTATCCGGCCATCCAGCTAAGGAATTCGTTACCCCTTAGCCTTATCTGTGACAACATCCGTAACCCAGGAAACCTAGGGACTATCCTGAGGTCTGCGGCAGGGGCGGGCTGCAGCAAAGTGCTGCTCACCAAAGGTAGGCCACTCCCTGGGGAGCCGCACCCCGACACAACTGGGGGCAGTGGCATAAGGAGATGCCTGGGGCGCCAGCTCGGTTGTCGTGGCCTGCAGGCCCTGCCAACTCCTTGCCCCTTCACTTTGACTCTCTTTTCGCAGGCTGCGTGGACCCTTGGGAGCCTAAAGTGCTTCGTGCCGGCATGGGCGCTCACTTCCGCGTGCCTATCATCGCCAATCTGGAGTGGGAGTCTGTCCCCGGCAACCTGCCCCCTGACACCTGCATCCATGTGGCTAGCAACCAGGACCCAAATGCCCAGGACGAACCGGAGCACGCCTCGGGCAAGGCCAGCAGCTACGGCTGGATCTCTCGCCCGCGCAATCTGAAGGCGCAGGCTGGCAGAGGGCGCTTGCCTTTGGACTCTAACAGCGAGGAGGACAAGGAAGCAGAAGCCAGGGACCAAAACCCAGAGCTCACTGTACAGAGCTATTGTGAGAGCTGGACCCAGGGGCCCGTGGCATTGGTGATCGGTGGGGAAACACAGGGCTTGAGCCTGGAAGCACTGCAGCTGGCAGAGAGCACAGGGGGCAGGAGACTCATCATCCCGATGGTGCCTGGCATGAACAGCCTCAACTCAGCCATGGCTGCCAGCATCATCCTGTTCGAAGGCAAGAGGCAGCTGCAGAAGCTAGAAAGCACGAGGCAGACGTTCCCGGCGTCAGGCTAGTACCCAAGGAGACTGCTGCGAGCTTCCAGGACCCCACTCTGTATGTTCATGTGTGCGGGGTTAGCAGAGAGCTGAATAAAGCCAGGGTTGGGGCACTTGCTGTTCGGTGTGCTTTGCGCGAGGGTTGAACTGAACCTGCCCATTCCAGCTTCCCCTCAGTGCCGGGGGAACCCACAGCCTTGGGCAGGGCATCAAGAGCTGCCTCTGCTACCAAGGATAGACAGGGCTTGGAGACTGCAGGTGTCTGAATCCACTCCAGTCCCCGAAGTGCTATGCAGGGCTTAACAGGGAGCTGCAAGGCTCTGCCCTCGGGTTCAGGAGAAGCCCCTAGTCCCTGCCCACTAGCTTCTCTGAGGTGGCTTTGGCCCACTGGCTGGGCGGTACTGTGTGCCTCTTTCTAGGCTCTGAACCCACCCACTCTGCCCCTTGTGCCCCAGGCACTGCTACTCCCTCAGGAGCAGAGCTAGGTTGCAGGGACCCTTGTAGGAGCAGGAGGTGGCTGTGTCAAGCGTGTAGCTGTGTGTTACCTCCTGCTGCTCTGGTCCAGGCACATGCGGTCTCAACAGCAGTGGGGGCAGTTCTGGCTTAGGCTGTGGGTCTGAGCACAGCTGGGATATCCGTAATGCAGCGGAGGTCCTTGCTGTCATCACCTTCCCCTTGGCCAGCGGCAGTGTGAGCCGTGTTTGGAGGCTCCCACAGAAAGCCGTGCTAATGTGAAGACTCAGCAGCTTCCAGTGAAACTGTTGTCGCTAGGTCTCTGAGGTCACAGAGCAGATACCAAGTCCACAGCTCCTCGCTTCCTGCAACAGGGCCTGGTCTCATTCCACAACAAGCTGTTGCCCTTCCAGCAGGTCTCGTGACTGCTCGGTTGACAGGGCATGCTGCAGATGCACCAGCAGCTCTCTCAGCACTTCCCTAGACTCAGGTGCTGCCTGAGTGGGCAGTGGCCAGGCCACAAGGTTTCCCGTCACACACCGTCCTGAGTCACAAACCTGCTCCATCTGCTTGCCGCAGGGCCAGCAGGAGATGGACGGTTGTACGGCTCACAGGGTTCTGCCGTTCCCAAGGGCACATCCCTTTCAGACTCCTGCTGGCAGCGACTGCCTGCTGGACACCTAGCAATGTTCTTGCAGCCACCCTCCCGCCCTGGTACCTGAAGTAGGAGGTGGACTCTGGCTGGCAGAGCTGATGAGATGCAGCTCAAAGCTCCTCCATCACAGCAACATGGGGGCTCCGTAAGCGCGATCCAGCGAGGGACCAGGGCAGAGTAAAGACCCGCTCTGAGGCACCTGTGCTGTGGTGGGTTCTCTGTGCCGGTGGGGGTGCGGTTCTGCCACTCGGTAGCACCCGCAATCCTCCCACTGAGCCAAGCACAACTCTCCCGGAGGCTCTGGGCTCTCTCCTGCCGGCAGGTGGCAGCACGTCCTGACCAGAGCCTGCATGGGCAGCGAATGCTGTACAAGTAGTGGTTGGAGCGCAGGCTTCTCCTACGGATGGGAGGGGAAACAGAACAAGAGCTTGGAAACTGGAGCAGAGAAGTGCGGTCTGACCGCCTTCCCCAGGGGAGAAGCCCCAGGCTCTTCCCCTTATCCATCTGCAGGTCTGGGTTGGGCTGGAGAAATCCCAGAGGATGCTGGGAAACCTCCTCCTGCACTGGCACAGGCTGTTGTATGCGTGCCAGGACAGCCGGCAGGACATGGGCCCCAGGTGGTCAAACAGATGGGAGAAGGGGCTCCAGCCCTCTTCTGGCACCATGCTCCTGGTAGGTGGCCCACGACTTGTCCCAGCTGCAATAGTAACTGCCCTGTGTCCCAGCTCCTGTACATTAGATTCCCCACAGTGGTCACAGCTATACACTGACCTACTTACCATGGGCCACCCTTTCCTCTGGCTCCTGTGGCTTGACAGTGGGGTGTAGCGTCTTGGGAACTGGAGGCTTGATACCGACCTTGAGAACAGGGAGCATCAGCCTGCTCCACGCCCAGGTGCTTGGCACGGGGAGGAGGGATTCAGCATAGCCACGCTCTTCTGCTCAGAAGCAGCCTGGGAGGCCGTCGCCTTGTGCCAGGACTGTGGCAGCTCCAGGAGAAGAGAGGTCAGGTCCTGGAGGCTATGCCCAGCCCTGTGCACGCAGGAACCTTCGTCCCAGGGATCCTGTGCGCTTGGTTGGTGAGCTCACCCGTTCCCTGCAGCCCATCTGGATGGGCTCGATTCCTGCCCTGCCTGAAAGCCCCTTGGAGGGGAGTCGGGTTCCTTTGTTCGAAGCCTGTCCAGAGTTTAATCACTGCTGCCTGAACACTGCTAGAGATGAGGCTGCCCTAGCTCAAGCTTCCTCATCTGTCTCATTTAAAGCACAAACATGCCCTGTCCCCCGCAGCCTCCCACCCTTGGTCTGGAAGCACTGACCCTATTGAGCCAGTTTCTGCCCAGCGCTGGGCCTGGGGAAACGCTAGGATTTCTAACCCTGGTTTAGCCTGGTGGGAGCTGGCAGCTCAGCAGCAGCCATAGAAAGCAACCCCCTCCATGCACATGCTGGGGGCAGCGAGCAGCGACCTCCACTCTGCTGCCCAGGCAGCCGGACTGCCCCAGCACCACCCAGGTAGCATGAACCACAGCCACCAGCACGGGCAGGGCTGGACCTTTCCCATCTCTCCCGAGCTGGACCCCAGCTCTGCGGCGCTAGACTGATTATGCAGCCAGCAGAGGCTAGCACCCAGGTAGGCGCTCCAGCCCAGCCATCCCGCCACAGTGAAAGTCAGCACCGAGTTACGTGCCAGCTGTGAACGGCAGCTGAGTAAACGCTGCCTGGGCCACACAGACTTGCCCCCACCTGTCACGCGGGGCTCCGAGCTGCCCCCCTCCCCTGGCAGGCTGCTGGGTGCTGGGGAGGGTCCAACCCTCCAACCTGGGCTGGCAAGAGGCAGCAGGATGACACGGCCCAGCAAACACCTGCAGGGGCCCAAGTTCAGGACACCGGCTGGTGAGAGGCAGCAGGCTTGGTGACACATGGCACTGGCTCAGGCCCCTCTCCCTGCCCTGGCTCTTACCTGGGCAAGGCAGGCAGAGCTTCCCCAGGGCAGGGACCCCTTTAGGACCACTTTGCTCCCACCCTGCCAGGCCAGGCATGTTCAACTCATAATATATAATGGGCACAAGTTGATGGAGAGGAGGTACAGATTGGACATCCGAAAAAACTACTTCACAGTCAGGGCGGCTAGGAGCTGGAACCAACTTCCAAGGGAGGTGGTGCTGGCCCCTACCCTGGGGATCTTTAAGAGGAGGCTGGATACTTACCTGGCTGGACTCATTTGAGTCCCGTTTTTGTTTTTAGGGTGAGTGGTTTTGTTTGTGTTTTTGGGTTGTTCTCCCGCCCTGGCGGGGGGTCGGGCTAGAAGATCTATTAGGTCCCTTCCGACCCTGAAACTATGAAACTATGAAACTATGAAACTCCCCCCAGTGGGCTGGGAACAGCAATGAGAGCAAGCCAGCAAAGCAGGGGCTGCATACTGGGAGCTCCCCGTCTTGGCTGGGCCTCAGCGCTGTGGGACACCAGGCCAGGTGCTGCCTTCCCGCCAGCTCTGCTTGTGCCCCGTCACGCGAGGACGCTGACTCCCTCACAGAGGCGCCAGACTCGGGTCGGACGTGGGTTTTATTACAAAGGGCCAATCACCATGTACAGTTTTTACAACGTCACTTTTCCGGGGGCTCAGCTGTGCTGCCCGGGTGGGGGGTGGGTTTAAAGAACAGCACCATTAAGGTTGGATTTGGGACACAGCTACAAAAAACGGTTCAATCAGCTACGTACAGGGGAGGACATTTCATACCAGAGAGAGGAGGGCACAAAGGAGAGAGCGGGAGAACATGGAAGAAAAAAAGGAGGTGGGAGACGAGAAGGGAGGGGTGGGAGAGGTCCGAGCAGCCCTGTGCTGTTTCTCTGCATGGCTGGGGGGAAGGTTGGGGTGGGATTCCCTCCGACTTGCATGTCTGGGGGCAGAGAAAACAGCCTGGACACAGGAGTTCTCACCAGGAGGATGGAAGGGGCTGCAGCGTCCCGGCCACTGCCGCACATGCCAAGGATGTCGGCGCTTGGCCTGCGACACGGCCGGAGCCAGGAGGGTGGCTGGGGGTGGGGACATTTCCTTATTGCTTCTTCGGAACAGTCTGTGTGGGGCAGGGCGGGAGACGGGGAGGAGAGGAGGAGGTATCAGAGGCCCGAGAACCCCGTCCACTGCCAGATGCCTACGCTGGGAAGAACACCATGCAAAGAAGATCTGCCTGCTAGCTAGTGCCAGATACAGAGTACAGGGACAGTAACAGTTCTGGCCAGGCTACAAGAGAATATATCACCATGAAGCACGAGCGAAGCCTCCGAACGCCGGCGACCCCCTGCTGAAAGTGCATCTCGAGGAGTTTGCTCGGGAGAAGGGTTCACTGCAGAAAACAAGGCACCACAAGGAGGTTGGATACTGGGCTGCACGCGAGGGCGCTGGGAGGTCCCGCGAGCGGAGGGGAGAGCCCTGCTTTAACAAGGTCCGCGGGCGCCCGCCTAGATGGGCTCGGGCTTGAGCTTGTCCGCTAGAAAGTCGCTCACAAAGGCTTCCACAATCTCGGGCGTGATCTCCTCGACGTCCATCACGTACTTGGCTCTGGCCGACATGTCCAGGATGGTGAGCAGGGGGGCTGCCTCCGGCAGGTTGGTGTAATCCCGCAGGGAGTCGGTCATGTCGTCCTGGAAGCCAAGGAGACAGAAGCTCCGTCAAGGAGGGGAGCAGCAGCTGGGGGCGTGGGAAACGCGCTGCCCTGTCACCTGGGTGAAGACGGGATTGCTGGCCGGGACCTGCTGACTCGCCCCGCCCCCACAGCCTGGCTTCCTACTAAGATCCCACTGCAGGATTCAGGCTGCTGAATCTGTCAGCAGAGACAGATGGAAAGGTGGGGGCAGGGGTTGAATGGCTTCCTTGGTGCTTCGCAGCCTGGGGAAAGAGGAGGGGCAGAGGCCAAGGCTGGGCCACAGGCACCGAGCAAGGTTCACTGGGCTTTGTTTTCCCCCTGCCCCCGGGACCTGTCATGGGACAATGGGGACAACGAAGGGAGCCGAGAGCCAGTGACTGCCATGCAGGCCCGGATGAAAGCTGGGGTCGAGGCGCCTCTCCCCTTGGGAGCAGCCTGCCCTCCCCCCACCCCCTGCAGCAGGGCACGGCTCAGGGCCATTGTCCGAGCTTCCCCAACGGCGCCTGCCAGCTGTGGCACAGGTACGAGCACAACCTGTCGCTCCACTTCTCCGCCAGGCCTCCTCTGTCTTGCTACAGCCAGCAAGACCGAGTCTGGGCAGGTCAGGAGCCACGGCCAGCCAGGCCATGGGGGCAGAACTGGGAGGTGAGACTGGTCAGACCTGACTAGCGAAGGGGTGCAGGGCTGCCCCAAAGCACCCCATTAAGCTGCTGCTGCTGCCTCCCCTGTCTCCATCAACCCATAGCCCTGCAGTTACGAGGCAGAGCCAGAAACCTCCTGGCTCCAAGGTCTATTCACCCTCCTGCCATCGATTCCCCATGCAACCGTGGGCACATCCCTTTGTCTCAGAGCTGCCTCCTTCTCCACCCAGGACAGCCCGGAGCTGGGCTAGCACCTGCCCTCTCCCAGCCAGCATCGGCGGAGCTGAGATATGCCACTCCCAGCGGCGGACGAAGAACAAAGCCAGTGCTGCCGGAGCAGGGGAATCTGGGGTTCCTCCCTGCTTCCCCCAGGTGAAGACGTGAGCTTTGTCTGCCAGCACCATGGTGCCCAAGAGCCGTGATGGCCAGGACCCAGTGGGCACAGAGCCAGGGAGACAGCAGCAGACTCAGCCGAGGCCCCGCCATCCACCGCCTCCCAGATGCCAAGGTGTCCACAGGCCGTGTGGGAAAGGAGGGACACAAGGGAGCAGCACCGTGGCGCGTGGCTCTAGCCATCAGGCAGCCTCATCGTGACCTCTGGCTGGCTCCACCACTGAGACATGGGGGCGAGCAGCTGTGGCAGACGGGGGGCAACCCAGGAAGGCCTGGACATCCGAAGAACACGCATGTGAGTGGATCTGGGAACAGCAGGGCCAGGTTGCAGATGTCTCCCCACACACAGAGGCTGCGAGGAGCCCAGCTAGCCGGCCGCTTGGCAGGAAAGGGGGGAAGAGGGGCTTGCACGCAAAGAAATCAGATCCCTGTGGAAAGGGAGGGACGGGGGGGAATGCACGAATCTGTGACTGCCAGAGCTGCTGCACTGAACAGGCATGGCCGGGCCGAGTCGCTCCTGGCTCCAACTGCGGCAGCTCCATTCTCCCTGCGCCGGCGTTCCCGGGCGAGCCCAGCGCGCAGCCGCTCTGGGGCGTCACCCCGGAGACTGCCGGGGCTTTGTGTGGGCATTTCTAACCTGCGCATCCCTGCAGCCGGAGTCTGGGGCCTCCGCCCTGCGCCCCGCCGGACCGTCGCAAAACCGCTGTGGTCTCTTCATAAATGCAAATCAGCCTCGAAGGCGCCGGGGGAGGGGCGAGGGTGGTGCCAGCGGCCCGGGGCCGCGGTCAGGCGGCATTGTGAGCCGTGGCCCCAGGGCTAAGCGAGGCCGCCGGAAACGTGGGGACGGCCGTGGGGCGGGCGGCCGCGGCGAATTGACCCGGGGCGGAT